ATTTTCCCTCTGGGTAATGTGTTCACATGAACTTTGCCATGGCTTGCAGGAGCTGGGTCTGCACTTTCTGTTGCAGCCATTGCAACCCTTTCCTGTCACACAGGGTCAGGTCATGGCAGTGAAACCACAAACATGAGGCTCAGGAGTCTTGGCACTGGACAGTGCCAGTGGCAGTGCTCTCAGTACTCACAGAAAGCAGGTTTGCTGCACGCCTTTTTGCTCTTACATTCTGGTTTTCCCTCAAACCAGGGATCTGTAATCTCTCCACATCCTCATTAGAGCTGCCCCTTGTTCTAAGCTTTCCCAGAGTGTCCCAGAGTGCTGCAGGGCCTCAGTATTTAACCAGTTGTGGCACCGAGTCCTCAGGTCAGTCTTTCTTGTGTCCAGTTTAAAAAGTCTGAGCTCTGAAGTGCTCCATGCCCTACACACCTTTCATGTTTGATAGTCTGAATAAATCCTTGCCCTACAGCAGGCTCATTATGAAGAGAAGTGGGGGAGAGGAGGTAGAATAAACAGGATAAGTCAAAGCCACAGCAATACAAAACATATGTAAATCAGGCAATGAAACACCATAATAAGGATGTAATGGAGGCAGAAAGAAAAAGAAAATAAGTCCTATTGTTGCTTCAGTAGAATAGCCAGCATCAGTCTGAGGTGGCCAATCCACCTTTCTCAGGGCCGTGGCAGGAATTTACACTCATTCTAAGCACAGAGTGGTCCATGCCAAGGCACCTCCGTGGTGACAGTGAACCCCTGGCTCTGGCCAGCCCAGGGCTGACCATGGTTCATCCCAGGCAGAAGGACAAGGTGCTGCTGGGCTCTTTGGTGCCAGCCTGCCTCTCTCCAGGGGTCCAGGGAGCTCCACTGTCACTCACTGCCTGCCCATGAATGTTTGGCAGGCGAGGCTGGATGCCTTCACCATCTGTGTGAAATCCTTCCAGCCATTTAGATTAAACATTGACTTCAGTGAAATGTAGGGCTCCTAATGACCTGACATAATCCATATGGAGTAGCTGCCACAGATAGTGACTATCTTGACACTGATTAATCACTTCTTCTGTTAGCGTATTTGTCCCTGGTTACTTGACATAATTCTTCCCTAATAGCTTTGGAATAGTTCTGGGGTGTTCATATGATCCTGGCTTTGGGGAATATCCCATCTGATGGCACACATTATCCACTCCAATGTAGGCTTGGCTGATTTCCATCAAACCAACTTGGACTCCAGCTTTTGGGTTGTTTTCTCTGCCCCTGAGTGCACCAGTCTTGGTCCTTCTCTGTGATGGGAAGCACCTCAGCCATGCTGAATTCTGTTCAGTGCCACCAGTGGCAATGGGCTGTGCAGCATGACGAGACTGATTCCACCTCTGTGCTCTTCCTGGACACTTAGAGGCACCAAAAACCCCCTGCATTACAGATCCCCCTTGCTCTGGAGCTGCAGCTGGAGTCAATCCCTGCCCAGGCAGAGAGAACTGATGCTGGGTCTTCTTTGGGTCTGACATCCCAAAGTGAAGGAGGAATTTCTCATCTGAGTGTTCTCTTTTTCAAAGCTAGGAGATCCAGAAGCAGAGGCAGGAAGTCTTCCAAGCTGATCTTCTGTCAAGTGTGAGTTGTGGTTTCCCCATCCCTGGAAGTGTCAAGGCCAGGTTGGATGAAGCTCTGAGCAAGGCAGGGGTTGGAACAAGATGAACTTTAAGGTCTCTCCCTATCCCAGCCAGTCTGTGATTCCATTATTAGACCCACTTCACATGGGGAAGCACCAAAAGTGAGAGTGACAAGCATGCAGGCTCTCTAGGACCTGTTCTGATGAAATCAGTGTCTCAGCTCCCTCCCCAGCCTTGCTGCAGGCTCTGTGTGCTCCAGCACTGTCTCTATCCTGTGGCTGCCAGGTCAGGCAGGGGTTACTGTGCAAGGCAGTGACTCACCAGTTTCATTCCAGCTTTTGTGGAATGTGCAGCAAAAAGATCTTAAAGATGTTCTCTCTCTTTCCACCATTTCCCCTTGTAATTTATATAAATTGTTTTTCCCAGCAGAATGGCTGGGAAAATTCAACTTGCTGTTAAATTTGTGCCACGTTTCCTGTCACTCTTCCTTTCCATTCAGACAACCTTTCAGACCTGGACAGGAGACTGACTTGCTGAGTATAAGGACAGACAGGTGAGCTCCAAGGATTGGTAGCTGCCTGCACCCCCTGAGCCTGGAGCCCTCTGGAAAAGTGGCTGATTTCAGCCTAATTCAGGTGACTGCAAGGCTGGCACTGTGAGTTAGGAAGGGAAATGTGGCCAGCCCAGCTGAGAGCAATGCTGGCTCACCTGGGGTATCCTGAGCTTCTCAAAGACTTTTGGAACCTCTTGTGCTGCTCCCCATCTTCAGCTCCACAAGTCCTGTGTTGTTAAAGTGCCAGCACCTCAGGAATGCTCCCCTCTCTGATCCATCAATCTCTCCCCTCTGATCCATAGCTCATAACCAAATAGTTGTTAGAGATGGCTCTTGCACATAAAATAAGATCTGCTTTTGTTTAATCTTGAAATAGTTTGTGTCATGTTCCTCAGCCTCTGTTTGCAGACAGACTTGGGGAAGTGCTTGAGATGGCTCCTGAGGCAAATAGAGCCCCTCTGCAGGGTAAGAGTTGTTCATCCACACGTGGTACTGGGTTACCTGTGACCTTGAAACCACCCTAGGTAGAGACAATCCTGTTTTTATGGCTCTCACCACTTGTCTTGTCCAGGAGTTTAGCTAATTTTGCTTTTTGTCTGGAGTACACAAATAATTTTCTTTTAAAATAAGCAAGTACAAGATGTTTTGCCAGTTCAGCTGCATTGTGGCTGTCTTATGCTCTGGATTACCTTGCTTGAGATCACAGAGGCTGCATATGCACTGTCTGCATTGTTTTACTTATATTATAATAAAGTTCAGGAGCACAAAGATGACTCAGGCATGTGTTTTTGGAAACACAGATTATCTGTAACACCTCCTTGCTAAGAGATCTTTAATGATCCCACCAGCAAATTGCCAGAGTAGTGAATCATGTTTGATTTTAGATGTTATTCCTGTCGTTTTAAGGGATTCCAAATAATTATTTTGGTTTTTGTGAACACATAGCCATCATGGCTCTCTCCACATTGCTGTGTGCTAGCTGAGCAAGATGAAGTTAACCAGCACCGACTTTCTAAACTGGATTTGATCTGCAAACTTGCATGTTTTCTGCTAGCATCCCATCCCCTGCAGTGTCTGTAGGATTTGTCCTCAAACAAATTCAGATGTGTGTTGTGAAACTGTCCCTTTTGACAGCAGCAGAGCCTTCTTTGAGTGCCCTTCAAGCTGCACTTCCCACTTGACCTCTGAGCGTGGCTGTGGGAGGGGTTTTGTTATGCTCCCAAACTCTTCAGCATCTTCAGTAAGTCTCCATTGAAATGGTAATTTCTAGAGCACACTTCAGGCTCATCTCAGCTTTAGATAAAAATTAAATGTGGATTGCCTCATTCTGCATATTGAATACTAAGGGATGCACTCATTTGTTCTCTCTGCAGACACACGATGCTCTGCCAATTTCCTTAATCCAGGCACAGAAGCAGTCAGCAATTGTTTCCATTCACTTTTGATTCCATCTATAAAAGGAAATACCTGCAATCACCAGAGGCTTTTCAGAGCAGGGATTTTGTAGAACTTGTCCAATTTCAACAAACTTTTTGTCTGCTGGCTTAATGGGCACTATCTGGCTGCACATCAGGGTGTCGGTTTTAGCTCCCATTGTGCTGCCATGTGTTTTTTATTGCAGAGATCATCAGTTATTTTAGGATTTCCCCATCTCTCCTAGGCTCTCTACTAACCTGTCAAAAAAGTCTAACCCCCACCTCTGAAATATTTTAAACTTTTCTTTATAAGTGGATTGCTGGCTGGGCTGATATCACATCTTATATTTAATATCAATTTTCGCAGGCTTTCGTGAGTTGTCACACTTTATTCCATCTTCTTCTAGGCCAATATTCCACCCTTGTCTCGTATTTTTGACACTTCTCTTTCTATGTGGTGTTGATAAAACCCAGCAACCCTATGGCTGGATCCCCAGTAACATTTCTTAGTTATCTCCAGGAAGACAGGAGCAGATCCATGAATGCCCAACCATTTATCAGACGAAATGAAGGAAGCTTTATTAGAAGGCTCACAGCTGACTTAAATTAATATTGCCAACTGTGAGCTTTTACAAAGATTTTTTTCCCTGAAACAATACTAGGAATTCAGCATTGAGATGTTCAGTAGCCAGGTATCAAACAGAGATTCAGGCAAGAGCAGGGCAGGGAGCAGCTCTAAGCCCAGCTCAGGCTGTTTGTGCCTCTCTTTTTTGCTGCCCTCAGCAACTTCTTCCACGGGAAGGGTGGGAAGGGGCAGAATTTCTGTGACCACAACTCTGATTTCTCTGTAAATCTCCTTGTGCCAGGCCATATTTCTGCAATAATTGCAAAAATGGTCCAGCCAGATGGATAAAATCTGGATGTTTGTTCACGAGAGCTTGGCCAGAGATAAACCTGTGCTTACCTGGCTTAAGAAAACCTCTGCCACAGCTGAGCTCTTCTCAAGTTCTTGCCAGGGTGAAGTTGGGAGAATGGAGGAGTGCAAAGACAGTCACCCTCTCTAACCAGTGCATTTGAATTATGAAAGTGGAGCATGAAACTGGGCTCAGAATTGTGCAATATATTCTATTTGTTTTATTTTTGTTTTTGCCGATTTGACCTGAATTAATCAGAGGCAATCAAGTCAAGTGACACTGATGAAACTATTCCTCTTTAATTTCTAGCCCAAACTATGTCTTTCATTGCTTCTTTTTTGTTTTTGTTTTTTTTTGTTTGTTTTAAACAGTTTTTAAAAAACAATTTCAAGAAGAGCATTTCACCAGTGCATGTGAAGAAACAAGGCAGTGACCAAGTTTCACTTCCCTCCTCATTCTCTGCAACTCCGTGTTGTGTTCCGTGAGAGGCAGGAGTGGTGCAACACAACAAGCAGGAGCTTTCTGTCTCCAGGTTTCTCTCTCCACGCTCCTTCCTCCTGCACTCCTGACCCCCTGAAGATGCCCAGGAGAGGAGCCCATCCTGTGGGGACACTCCTGGTGCTGCTGCAGCTGCCATTTGTCCCGTGCCCAGTGGCAGGCTGCCTCCTGGATCCCTGCTTGGAGGTATGTGAGCTCCAAGAGAGCACAAAATCCTTCTGTTTCTCTGGTGCAGCTCTTCCCTCTGCTTGGGGGATTTGTGCCTCAAGCCTCGAGTTGTCTTAGGAAAGCCCAGCTTTTTTTTCCAAGGTTATTGTCAAGATGATTGAAGTATTTGAAGTAAATTCTGGTCTCAAAAATATCCAAGAACCAGAAACAGCAGCAAGAACGTTTCTTCTTGTTGATTTTCTGTTCTTCTGAGGGTGCTGCACTGCAGTTTTTGTAATAGATTATATTTCCCTTAGAAGGGATCCAAACTGTGTAATTTCTACAAAACACAGATTTTTGCCTGGTTTGTGCACTAGAGTGATTTCACCAAGCACCAACAGCCATTTGCAAAGCTTTGCTGACAATAATTTGCTTGCAGAATAACTTTGGTTCAGAACTGAGAGCTGTTCCTGGATATTCAGTGCATCCATGAGTGTTTGTCCTGCTGGCTCTCTCAAAGGTGGCTGCTGGTTCATCTGTAACCTCAAGGAATGCTGTCCTGTAGTTTTGTCCCACCTCCAATCAGCAAGAAATACAGATGTTTTTGAGACCAGAATTTAATTCAAATACTTCAATGACCACACTCTTCCTGGGGAGTAGGTTCTATTAGAAGTGAGAAAAATGCTTAGGGTATGTAACATTATTTCCTAAAACTCAGGGCAGATCCTTTAGGAATGAACCACAAGGCAGGGGTCATTCTGCCCCTGATTTCCTGACAGTGACATTTTCTGGCACTTTGTGAAGTGCAGATGTTGACCATGAAGGGATCTGCCTCTGTTACAGGTCACCCCTAACACAACCTTCAGATGCACCGGACTGAACATCTCTGGAGTTCCTGATGGAGTCCCAAACACCACCCAGAACCTGGACCTCAGTTTCAGCAATCTGAAATCACTGGAGTCAAATTATTTTGCATCAGTCCCTGAGCTGCAGCTTCTGGATCTCTCAAGGTAATGGGATCTATTATGTGGGTACTGGTTAATTTTTCTTCACCAGCTGGGTTACATTGGTGGCTTATTTTGGGGTCTATTTGTTTTGGCTGCGTTTTGTTAGTTGGGTTTTTTCTGTTTTGTTTTTTTTTCTTGTGACTCTGTCCCTGTGTCTGTCATTTTGCACATCCCCATGGAGAAGTGATGTGCAGATTTTAGTCAGTCACTGAGTGCACACTCTGCACTCAGAGCTGGGTCTGTCAGTCTGATCTTGTAGGTTGAGATGTGAGAAGGAGGAGGAAGATGTTTCACTTGTCTATGAACAAGGAAAATGTCAGACCTTTCACTGTTACAAAAACTCTGAAGTGGAACATCTTGGGTGAGCTGTTTTTCTAATCACAGTTAAAAAAAAAATAACATGAAGGTACATTCATTTTCCAAAAGGCTGTTTTAAAATATCAACATATTCTCTTTTCCTTTCTCCTCACATATCTGGGGGAGGAGATGGGGGAGGCCTATTAGCAAATTTGAATTGATGTATAATTTCCATTAACTTCAGACAACAGTTTCTCTGGGTAAATTGTTTCACTGTGAAATGTCACTCAGTCCCATCACAGCTCTAGCTCCAAAGTGGCTGAGTGGCAGAGCACATTTGCTGTGAGGCACTGGCTGGATTATTAAACTAATTCTGCTGCATTTCACTGCAGAATGGATTTGGGGCTCAAAATTTGGACCTTTCCACATCAAACAAACCTTAGAGGTTTGTTTTCCCCTCTTCCTTTTCTCTTTCAGAGCCAGCACAGCCTGAGGTCTGCTCCCTCTGAGCCATCACCAGATACCAAGTGCTGACAGAGTTGTGAGCTCTGCCACATCTGCTCTGGTGCCAGTGGGGCTGCCCAGATGTGGCTGAGGTGGCAGTCTGAGGGCTGGGGGTGCCAGCTGTGGGTTCTTCCATCAGTGGTGGTCATCACAAAGTCACTTTGGCCTAAACTGAAAGCTAGGGTTCTTCTTTCCTGGTGCCTGGACAAATTTTTGGTCTTCACCAGGTCTCCAGGTCTCCTGCTTTGAATTTAAGATTAGAGAGGGAGGAGAGGAGGAGGTGAGATCAGGTCTCCTGCTGGAGGAACATTCCCTTTGAACATCCAGGGATGCTGGCTCTGCCCAGCACAGCAAAGCCAAACCAGCCCCCAGCGTGAGACTGAGCCTGAGGATGTCACATCAGCTCTCAAGGAACAAGGAAAGGACCAGTGTTTCATGCACTTTTATTTTCTTTTCATGCCCAACAGGTGCCACCTCCACACAATAGAAGATAACTCCTTTATGGATCTCCATAGACTTTCCAGCTTGATTTTAACTGCCAATTCTCTCCAGCACCTCGGGAAAGCAGCTTTCTATGGCTTAACATCTCTGAAAAAGCTGGTTCTGGTGGAAACCAACAGAACCTCTCTGTCTGAGCTGCCCATTGGACACTTGCACACTCTGCAGGAGCTGAATTTAGGCCACAACAGCATTACTTCATTGAAGCTTCCTGACTATTTCACCAACATGACCTCCCTCAGGCACCTGAGCTTCTTCTCTAACAAGATCACATCTATCTCCAGAGGAGACCTTGATGCCCTGAGGGAAGGGAACAGGGTCAACCTGACTCTGGTGCTTTCCTTGAACAATATAAAATCCATACAGCCGGGGGCCTTTGCGGGGATTCACCTCGCTGAGCTGGCCCTCAGGTCCGCTTTTGAGAACTTCATGATGCAAACTTCTCTGCAAGGCCTGGCTGGTTTGCAGGTCAGCAGACTCATAGTTGGGGAGTTCAGGGACAGTAAGAACCTGCAGGACTTTGAGAGGGGGCTCTTGACTGGACTGTGCCAGGTACAGATGGAAGAGTTTGTCTTAATCTGCTTCAGGGAGTTTGAGGATGACACAGACACTCTCTTTAACTGCATAGGCAACGTCTCCACTGTTCGCTTGGTGGACCTCGGACTTCAGGAGATATCACAGGTTCCTGCGAGGTCTAAAGTGAAACAGCTGGAATGCAAAAAATGCGGTTTTGAGGATGTGCCTGCCCTGAAGCTGTCGCTTTTCAAGGAGCTGAGAGTGCTCCGTATTACCAAGAACAAAAGACTCAAAAACTTCAGTCAGAATTTTGAGGATCTCACTAACCTGGAGGTTATAGATTTGAGTGAGAATAGACTCACCTTCAGTGGTTGCTGCTCCCCTCAGTTCCAAAATTGTCCAAATTTGAAACACTTGAACTTAAGCTTCAATTCTAATATCAGATTGACTGGAGATTTCACTAATGTGAAGAATTTGTTATATTTGGACCTTCAGCACACAACTTTATTTGGTCCTGGCTCCTACCCTGTCTTTCTGTCCCTTCAGAAACTGATTTACCTTGATATTTCCCATACCAAAACCGAAGTTAAATCCCAGTGCACATTTTGTGGCTTGAACTCTTTGCAAGTGCTCAAGATGGCAGGAAACTCCTTTGAGGGCAATAAGCTGGCAGGCAACTTCAAAAACCTAAGTCACCTCCACACCTTGGATATTTCAAGATGCAAATTAGAACATGTGGATCAAAGTACTTTTGATGCCCTCTCTGAGCTAAAAGAGCTAAACATCAGTAACAATAAGCTCCTGACCTTCGATCCTGGAGTCTACCGGCCGCTCCGAGCCCTCAGAGTCCTGGATTTCAGCAGAAACCAGCTGACTGTTCTGCTGCACTCAGCCTGGGAAATCCTGCCTGACAGCCTGGTCCTGTTGGATATCTCTCAAAACCTGTTTGACTGCTCCTGTGTGTACCTGGACTTCCTGACATGGATCAAGGAGAAGCAGGAGCTGCTGCAGAACAAGGAGCTGATGCTGTGCCACACTCCCTCGTACGCGGTGAACGTGAGCCTGCCAAGCTTTGACCTGTCCTCCTGCCACGTCAGCGCAGGCAAGGTTGCCTCCTCAGTGGTTGTGCTGCTCTGTGTAGTGGTGCTCCTTTTCCTGATTTACAAGTACTACTTCCAGCTCTACTACTCCGTGGTGCTGCTCAGTGGGTGCAAACACTCCGCAGAAAGAGGTGACACTTACGATGCCTTTGTCATCCACTCCAGCAAAGACCAGGAATGGGTGACAAAGGAGCTGGTGGAACCCTTGGAAGGGGGAGCACCTCCCTTCCGCCTGTGTCTGTACTACAGGGACTTCCTGCCAGGGGTACCTGTTGTCACCAATATCATCCAGGAGGGGTTTCTCAGTAGCAGGAATGTCATCGCAGTCATCTCCGCTGACTTCCTGGAGAGCAAGTGGTGCAGCTTTGAGTTTGACATTGCCCAGTCCTGGCAGCTGGTGGAGGGAAAGACTGGGATCATCATGGTTGTGCTGGAAAATGTGGATAAGGCCCTGCTGAGGCAGAGGCTGGGGCTGTCTCGGTACCTGAGGAGGAACACCTACCTGGAGTGGAAAGACAAGGAAATAAGCAAGCACATCTTCTGCAGGCAGCTGACAGGGGTGCTGCTGGAAGGCAAAAAATGGAATCATGAGGAGGTAAAACTCATGTGAAGAGAAAGAAAGATTCTTCCTCCCCTGTCTGCCATGCTGGCCTGGGCTGCTGGATGGTGCTCAGAAGTTCTTCTGTTGCTGTTCAGAGGCAGAGGGAGTGGATGGAAGCACTACAGACATTCCTGCCTTGCTGGTCACCTTTTCTCAAGGAAATGTGCAAGTTAAGGAGTGACAAGGGCAGAAGAATTGCCTGAGCTCTGTGTTTGCCCATGGCTGTCACCCACAGGTGAACCAGCAATACCTCAGGTTTGGTGGCTGTAGGAACAGGCCAGTGCTCTTACTGTCATCTGGCTGCTTCTGAAGCTGGATTTGGGTCCTGAGACCATTTACCCAGAGCACCTTCACAGTCTGTTGCTTTGAGGGGAGCCCAGACTCTCAAAGGTGAAGACACAGGATTTTCAGCTCTAAAAGCTTTGTCAAACAGAAACGAGGTTTGGATTCCGAAAGTCTTGTGCCTGCCTCTGTGGGCACCATGACTCAGGGGACAAACCCTCCAGAGACCAATGGGACATCCTACAGCCCACCTGGCAGCTGCTCAGGGAGCCTGAGTGGTTTTGTCATCAGGGAGAGAGGTTTCTGTGGCTGGGAAATTTGCCCAACATGTTTCTTTCAGTTTTATTTAGACTAAGACCAAATATTGAAACCATCACCTGAAAATCTTACTTATATCCATGTTATTTAGCATTTGAGAGGACATTTTTGAGTTTTCTTGGGGGAACAAGACATGTGTAACACCTTTAAACTGAAATTTTTTTTTGCTCCCATTGCTTCTCCTCATCCAGTGTTTGTGGGTATGCTCTGGGACTAATCTAAGCAAGCAAAATTGAGCCTGAATGAAGTATTTTGATGTTTACAGCCAGCAAGTTCTAGATTAAGCTTTTTCACTCTCTGGATCAGCTTTAATTCACTGTTGGAAGGTGCTGCAAAAGCATCCAGGGTTTGAAATGGAGTTCAGGTCTGCCTGTCTGCTCAGCCTTCCCCAGGGGTGAGCTGCCACCTGGAACAGGACTGGGTGAGGGAGTTTTGCTTTTGTTTCACTGAGAAACACTTTGCAGGGAGAAGAGATAGAGGGGAAAGGTCTGGGTTAGCTGAACTAAGTGTACCCCAGCACTGTCCTGAATCAAGGGAAGGAAAGTCTAAATGCCGTGGAATCACATCACGGAGCACTCCATCGACGTGTGGGGTGTTGGGTGGTGCAGGAGAATTGCTCTCTTTCCACCAAAGGCTCTGGTTGGGATTCATCACTGAATTACTCTGGTTTTAATCTTGCTAATCCTTCGATGATCAGTGGTGTTCTGCAGAGGTAAAACAGAAGCAACTGAGTGGTGAATCAGATCTGATATTTATCTGCTCACTTTTCTAAGCACCAGACAGGGGCATTTCCATGGAAGCAGGATTGGGGATCAACATCAGACATTACTGGGTAGAGAGGGAGAGACAGGCCTTGTGCTGGCAAAAGCTGAATCACAGCTCCCTCTCTGTGTGCTGTGTCAGATAACACTACCAAACCCCCCCACAGCCCTCCCTAAGCTTTTTGTGTGACCCAGGAGATGAAGATTTAAAGAACAAAGCTTGATACTGCGTTCCTCTGCTCAAGACAGTTTGTTCTGCATCTGCTGAATACTATGCCAGCAATTCCCAAAATGAAGTTCTCCTCACCTCTGCTGGGATTGATGGGTCCTGCAGACCTTCCTCCTCAGCCTTTCAACCACCTTCCTCCTCCTCCAGACACAGAGGCTGCTGGAGATGGTGGGGGACAGTGAACCAGCCACAACTCGAGGTCCCCTGGACTGAGGCCAAAGGAAAGCACAGAGGACAAAGCAAACATTAGCTTGAATTTCAGCAGCTCCAAGTTAAATTGAGAAACAAAAGAGGAAAAATTAAATAGAGTGGGAGTTCCTGCTCCTGAATTGAGTAGCAGTGAAGCCGCATTTGTCCTTCACTCTTTCTCTCTGTGGCTCCTCTGCAAACAATTCAGTGGATGTGTATTTCTGGCACAAAGCACAGAGTCCTGTGATTCTTGATTGTAATTATAACACTGAGTTTCAGAAAGCCTTTGAGTGGTTCTGGGCATTTATAAAAGGGATTTAGGACAATATTGTTTAAAAAGTCAGTGTTTTTTTGAATATCAAAGCAACTTTAGCAGAGCTGGAGTGATGCTGAGACGAGGCTCCCACCAGCACAATTTTAAAAGAAACTGGTCACTTGTTTTCCTATTCAGAATCTCCACAGCAGACAAGAATGTGTGAGTTGCCCCTGGCTGCCTTATTGTCCAAGGAAAAGCCACAAAAAACATCATAACTTCAGCTGACCCTCTGTGATCCCTTCCAGCCTGACCCACTCTGTAATTCTGTGACTTGCACAGGCAGTGCTGAGGTTTATGAGTCCAGGATGGACAAGACTGTGTGAACAGTTGTATTTTCACCATTTACCCAGCAGAGATACAGTAGATCTTTTTTTGGAAGACTCAAAACAGCTTTCCCCAATGCTATACACGGGGGAATACTGTGGTTCCCACAGAATCACATGTTCTCATTTGCCTTCATTGCAGGAAGCAAGTGTCCAAAGGATAACTCAACGTTCTCACGTTTCCAAAGCTGCTGGATGCACTGTTTGAAACTGCCCACTCTGCAGCAAGTGGCTTTGATAGGATTTACTCAGTGGATGAAAAAGTGAGCAGCCAAGCAAACACCCCTGCAGGTTTGCATTCATCTCTCATGTAAATATGTGAAAATATTCCAGTTATTAAAGCATCTCTTTTGCCCAGGTCAAAAAAAAAAAAAAAAAAATGGAGACAAAGCTCCAAAGGGCTGTTGCATCCAAGCTATTCCATCTGCAATGGACATGCCCTGATTTCACTCTGATCTTCATTTGACCCATGCAAAATGCCAGGACAGATGCAGCTCTGGACTTCCTTGCCTTGTGGAGGGTTCTGTGTGAGGGGCAGGACATGCTGATGTGCTGGCACTGTCACCAAGGCGTGCTTTGCTCAGCTCAGTTCCCTCATTAGTGGGATTGCCTTTGTGTTCCCCACCCAGCAGCAGCTGTAACAGCTGGAATCCAAAGCCATGTGCAGTCCTTCCCACCTGGATCTGGCTGGCTGCAGGAGCAGCGCTGCAAGAACGCTCCCTGGCCCCCCTGAGCAGGAGCACAGATTTCCAGAGTCACTTCAAAACCCAGCAGAACGAGGAAAAGCAGCTGGTTTCCCTGGTCCGGCTGGTACTTGACAGGAACAGGTTGAAAGTTCTCAGGGAGAGCGTTTGTCCTTTGGGAAATGCTATTTTGTATGTGGTTTATGCAATTTAATGAGGTAGCATGGTGAATCTATGGAATGGGAATTGTCACAGCAGAGTTTCTGGTTTACTGGTGCATATAATTTTGGAATAGATATTTTTCATGGAAACAGTGATATAAAAAAATGCTTTGGAGGGGCTGAAAAAGGGATTTATAATAAAAGTTAAATCACTCCACAATGTTATTTTAAAAAATGTCTGCTTAGGCTTATGCTGTTATTTTTCAGAGTATATTTTCATTTTAAGGTTTGTTTCTATTTACACAATCTGACTAGCCTCCCAAAACAGCACCAAAATATAAAAATGTTTCCCATACACCCGAAACAAAAACCCTGGATTTTGTTTTGTAGGATTTTTTTTTTTTTTTTAGCACGCTGAAAAGTATGTTTGGCAAAACAGGAATTCCTCTTCTATGACAGCTCTTACCATGACCCTCTCAGAGTCAAACCTTCACCTGCCTGTGCCCCATGTGCAGTTCAGGCAGCAAAATCCACTGATGAACCCCCGGAATGAATTTCACTAAGTGCCTTTTGCAAAACATCTTGAGTAGGTGCAGTGGATCGATAGGAACTGCCTGAGAGCAGCTGAACAGGGGAGGAAAGAAGCAATTCCTTAATAAGTTGTTCTTTGCCATCACCAGCTCAGGCTGGGAATTGGGACAAATGACAGCAAAGCACGATTTGCAGAGAGGAGCCCATCTGCCAGGAGCTCTCACCTTCCTCAGCCTCAAGGTCACCCAGAGGGCACAGTCGATAATGCACCAGCCTGGACCTCCCTGTGCTGCTCTGAACACACAGAGAAACATTGCATAATTGAGGACAGCTCTGTTAAAACACCTGAAAAGCAAGAAAAAGGAAGAAAATGAATAGGGAAGGTATTAGTGCAGGATCTCAGGGTGGGAAAGAGGCCACAGTTTAGCTGAGTGGATCCCAGATGCTGGAGGTGGCTTGGTGCCAGGGTTTCCAGCACTAACCCAAGCACCTACACAGCAGAAGGCTCCTGGTGAGTCTGAAAGTGCGACTTTTTTGTGTAATGATAATCAGAGTGATGGAAATGAGCATTGCATGTGTACCAGGCATGTTTTGAAGGGGACAGGATGGAGACTGGCAGCCCTTGGGGTCCAGCAAGGACAAGTGGCTGGGATGAAAGAACTTCAGCATCTCTGGAGGACAAAAGAAGCCCAGGCCAGCCCTGCCTTTGTGCCTGCCAGCCTACCCAAATATAGAGGGAGTGACCTTTGGTCACACACCCTTTGCCTGACCAAAGCCTTGACCGTGTCTATCAAACAGCAGGGAGAGGATATTCAAACCCCACCCTTCCAAAATCCTTCCACCAAAGCTGTTCAAAATGCATTTATTATTGGCGATGGGGAGATCCTCAGGTAAAGCGTTACTTTAGGACTTCAGTGACTTTTAGTCAGTGTAGGACTGGGGCCCAGGGCCCTCCAGACAGAGGATTTCCAAGGAAAACAAGGCAACCTCCCCTGCCTGCAGCTCCTTCCTCCCTTATCGCCACATCTTGAGTACTACTGCGCAAATAACAATTGGGTATTGTTAGGCAAAAGAGATTTAATTGCAGCCTACACTCCCTGAGAGGGTAAGATCGGCTTTTCTCCAGATCTAATCTTCATTCTTCATCTTTTCTTCTCTCCCTTTCCTGGAAGTTTCTCTTTTCTGTCTTTCCCAGCCAGCAGCAAGTGAGCAACCTAAAAACGTAAGAGAGAGGGAGGGGTGCCCTTGTCACTTCTTCTTCTTCTTCTACATTTTTGAATAGCCTTTAAATCCTTTGGAGTGTTGTGTCCCACAAGAAAGGATTAGCAGTAATTCCCCTGCCATCCCTGGCTTCCGAAGCTCTGACAATTCATTCTCCTTAGATCCCCTAAACTCGCGGCTGAATTCATTAACCAGAGGACACGGAGCGGGCTTTGGGGGAGGGAATGTCCCGTGTCCCCCCTCCCTACAGCCTGCTGAACACACCCACATGAACACACCACCGCTGGCTCCTGGACCAGCGACCCCAAACAACCCCAAACCTGCCCGATGTTTGGGATGCTCTGGGGGGTTCAGCTCCCCCGCTGCCAGGTTCACAAGGCAGCACCTGGAACTCGCTCTCCTTCCCATGGCTCCCGATGGATCTGCTGGGAGCCTGTGCCCCCTCCCCTGCTCCCACACTGCAATCCCTCTGTTTTCTTTTCCAAGCTGTGCTGGGAAAGGCTCTCTGCCTCCTCTGCCTGGCTCTGGGTGCTGCCAAGCCCCCTCAGATGATGAATGCTGCCTGTTACCTCTGCCCTGCTTCACTTTCCTGTTGGTAAAATGGGGTTCACAACCTGCACGCTGTGATTTACCGGAGTGGAGCGCTAAGATACAGACAGAGTCTAGATCAGAGCCTGTGAAAATGCACTTTCTGTTCCTCAACTCTGCTTCCCTCATCCTGGGGTTTTGAAATCCTCCTCTACAGCTCTCCCCCAGACCAGCAGATGTCTGTCTGAAGCCAGATCCTTCCATTCCCTTTCGTGTCACTGGTTCTATTTGTGGTCACTTAAGCTTTGCTTTCTTTAAGGAAAATAAGTGCAGAGAGTCCAGGTGCAGAGAGTAGCACAAAGAAAAAAAGAGCAGTATTTGGCCCCCAAGACCTTCTTTGCAATTCTGCTTAACAGGAAAAGCCTTTCCTGCCCAGGCATTTCTTCCTGCCATCTCTTCTCTCATGCTGTAAATATTAAAATAAGCTGCTAGTAAAAAAACTCACAAGCTTCCTCCTCTCAGCTCCTCCTGAGTGTTGCCCACATCTTTCTGTCCTGCATGGAGTCAGCAACTTTCAGTTCCCCACTTCTTGCCCCCTCCAGCAGCCTGGATTTTGTCTGGTGCTGAGCTGGGCCAGCCCCACTCTCTGTTCTGCTGCTTCCCCACCTCTCAGTGCCCCAGAGGTGGGCTTCACTCCTCAGCCAGAACTGCCTGGGCTGTGTTATTGAGAGCCCTGCTGGGAATTACAGGATGTGTGCCTGCTGGAAGGGCTCTGGCTGAGCAGCCACCCTCTGCTCTGGCCGAGGTGATGGCCACAGGCGTCCCCTGTGTGATGGGGAGGTGCTGTGGGCTCTGCAGGTGCCCTCCTGTCACCTCTAGGGCACTGACAGGGAGAGAGGGCTGACAAAATACTGGGATTGAAGCCTGAGCCAAATGTGTGAAGTTTCTTGCCCTCCTTGATAGCCATTTCTCCTGGAAAAAAAAAAAATGAATGTTTTATAAAGAGCTTCATGAAAGCAAAGTATATCATGATTTCAGTGTGAGCAGACAGCAAGAGAGATAGGAGCATCCCCTTGGATTTGCCTGCCTGAGGTTATTTACCTCAGGAAGCTCCTGAATAAAAGATACAAAAATACAGCAGAAAGTGGTATTATTTGCTCATTTCAAAGCATGATGGGAGGCAGAAAAACATTATAAGGGGTATCTTTGAGTTTTGCCAGCCTGGATTTGTCAGGGCAGCGTTTTCATGGAGCGCTCTCTGGGTGACCCAGTTTCTGAGACACAGGCACAGACACACACACGTCCACACACACAGAGCCCAGCCACAATCCACAACTTTAATAGCTGTGTGACATACAAAGGAGATTTTGATGCAAAGTGGAGCTGACAGAGAAGTGGAAGAAGTATCTGGGTTTTTTTGTTGTGGTTTTTTTTTTTTTTTCTATCCAGTGCCAAACCAAGATTACAGTCAAGGTGGTTTCAACCTTCAGCAAGGACTGATGTTACCGTGGGTTCTGCTTTTAATGACATTTAGCAAGAAGCAGCAGCTCGGGGAGGGGGAACAAGGGTTTTCTTTTCAGGAGGAATTTACTTGGGCTGTCAGGATTAAAGGCATGAAGCGAATGCATAGGGGGCTGCAAAGGGGGTTTAATGGCTTTGCTGCTGGTAAGGGCAGCACAGCTCTGAGACAGGGTGTGCCAGGCCTGTCAGGCAGCTGATAAAATATCTGTGGATGTGGAAGGGTGCAGCAAAGAGAAGTCATGGGAGTGTGGTCACACTGGGGTGACTGTCACCGATGGTTTCCTGGCTGTGGTGACACAAAGGTGTCCTTATGTAGCAAAATTCTCTGCAAATCCCCCATCCTCAGGGGTGAGGTGGCTGCTCCAGACCAGCTGATGGGTGTCACTTCTCACCATGGCTCCATCAGACTTTTCTGTAGATCCTACAGGGAGCAGGCACGAGGCTGGGTGGGCTTGACAGGACACCAAGGCTGGTGCAGGCTGGGTTCCTGGAATGGGTCCAGGCATCCACAAAAGCTCCTAAATTATGCCAAGTTGTTGGGTTGAGTGCACCCAGGCTGTTTCCATGCCTTCAAAGCAACACAGATTTTATTCTTGCAGCAAATGGCCTTATTAAACCTGGGGCTTAGCTCTACTTGGAGAGAAAGGAACAGCAGGCAAAACATCCAGAGAAGATAAATGCGGGGCCAAAGTGCTTCCCTTCTCGAGCTATCCCAGAATCTGGTCATGTCAGGGAGGGT